AAGGCACAGCCATTTTGATTGTTTATAAGCAGTGGCCATTTTAGGTATTTAAAGTGACTGAGGGTACAGTCATTTTGAATGTTTACAAGCGGTGGCCATTTCCGATTTTAAAGAGACAGCATTCTCATTTGGATTCCAGGGACCTAAGAATAGGTTCCTTTTGCCAATGACAGCAGGGATATATGGAAGGCAGACAACAGGAAAGGAGACAGGTGGTGAGCATGTAAGTGCAGCCAACTAGCAAATAGAGGAGCACAGCACAGTATCCTGCTTACATAGATAACATACAAACAAAACAAAGAAAATGAAAATTATGGGCAAGTCACTCCAACATACAATTACCAATTAAATATAAACACAAAAAGTCACAATGCCTTGGAGACAACAGAGCATCACAGTCCACACAAAAAAGCAAGATAAAGTAGAAGAAACAAGGGACCCAGGATACAGAACCAAAACACATCCCTGAGGAAGACACAATATTGGAACTCCCTGATAAGGAATTCAAAAGACTTATATTTAGGTTCCTTCAATGAACTGAGAGACAGAGCAAGGAAAACACTGACAAAACTGAGGAAAACAGAGAAAACCTAGAACAATTTCAAAAGACAATATAAGAACAAAATGGCAAAATAAATGAAAAATCAGAAATGATACAAAATCTACAGATAAAAATGCAGAAGATTAAGACTAAATTTTCAGAAATAGATAACTCATTGAACAGGCAAAGAGCAGAACTGAATCAGTGGAAGACAGAATTTTTAAGATTGAAGGCAAACACCTCAATACTTCTTTGGAAAGGGTACAATCAGAAAAAAAGATCAAAACAAAATGAAGACAGCCTAAAGTTCATGTGAGATACCATCAAAAGGAATAACCTATGTGTAATTAGAATTCCAGAACAGGAAGAGACAAATAAAACCACATAAGAAATTGTCAAAGATTTGTTGGAAGAGAATTTTCCTGGTATGATGAAAGATGAGAATATAGCCATTGAAGAAGTCCAATGAACCCCAAACAGAACAGAACCCAAAAGAAAATCACCAAGACATATCATCATCGTTGTTGTTGTTGTTATGTGCCATCGAGTCAAACCCGACTCATAGCGACCCCTCCTTGGGTTTCCAAGGCAGTATCACTACGGAAGTAGGATTGCCCAACCTTCCTTCCAAGGAGTGGCTGGTGGGTTTGAACCGCCAGCCGTCTGGTTAGCAGGCAAGTGTCTTAGCCACTATGCTACCAGAGCTCCCAATTAAACTCACCAAAACCAAAGACAATGAAAGAATCTTAAAAGCAGCATGGGAAAAACGCAAAGCTACTTACAAGGGGCAACCAATAAGACTAAACTCGGGTTTCTCAGCAGAAACAATGAAGGCAAGAAGACAATGGGATGGTATATATAAAACCCTGAAAGAGAAAAATTTCCAACCAAGAATTATATACCCAGCAAAATTATCCCTCAAATATGATGGCGAAATTAGGACATTTCTAGATAAGCAGAAATTATAGGACTTTGTTAAAACCAGACCAACCTTACAAAAGATGCTAAAGGCAGTCTTTTGGACAGAGAACCAACAACAGCAAACAACAACTGACCATTAACACACATGATGACATAACCCAGAAACCAACTCAGTTATAGAAGTATCCAAAGTAAGTAAGCCTACAAGATTGTAAACAGGGAACCAGAGACATCAATGGACAAATGAAGACAACTACAAACCAAAAAGAGGGAAAAAGCTGTGTAGCTACAGTTCTAAATGGTAGGGAAGTCAAGATAACTACAAGATAGAATGGACTGTTCTAAACTTGGGAAAAAATTATAAGTCATAGGGTAATCTCAAAGAAAAATGATAAACCTTCACAGCAAAATAAAAAAGAGGACCAGTACAAATATTTAGCAAATACTAAAACAGTAGCAACAAAGGAAGTGATAACATGATTCATGAACAAAACGAGTTCAGCACAGAAAATAATATGGAACAAAGAAACCAGGGACACCAGGAAAAAATACATAACAAAATGACAGCAACAAATTCATGCTTGTCAATAATTACATATCTGAAAAGGGACTTATCTCTAAAAATTATAGAAAACTCCAACACCTCAACAAAAAAAAGATTAACAATCCAAATAGAAAATGGGCAGAAGACATGAATGGACACGTCACCAAAGAGGATATTCAGGAAGCCAGCAAATACGTGAAAAAATGCTCATGATCATTAGTCATCAGAGAGATGTAAATCAAAACAGCAAAGAAATACCATCTCACCCAGCACTAATGGCAAAGCTCAACAAGACAGAAAATAACAAATGCTGACAAGGATGTGGAGAGACTGGGACTCTCATACACTGCTGTGGGGACAGTAAAATGACACAACCACTGTGGAAAGTAGTATGATGATTCCTTAAAAAGTTGGAATTAGCAATACTATTTGACCCAGCAATTCCATTACTAGGTATATATCCTAAATCACTTCGAGCCATGACAAGAACAGATATATGAACACCCATGTTCATCACAGCACTATTTACAATAGCAAAAAGATGGAAACAACCTATGTGCACATCAACAGAAGAACGGATAACAGTGGTACATACACACAATGGAATATTATGTAACCTTAAAGAATAATGTAGAATCTGCAAAACATCAAATAACATGAATGAACTTGGTGGACATTATGCTGAGTGAAAGAAGTCGATCAAAGATGGACAAATATACAACTAAAGCATTATTGTAAAAAGTCAAGGAAAGGTTTATATACAGAAGGGAACTTTCTTCGTTGGTTACCAGGGGTAGGAGGGGAGAGGAGGCAACACTGAAAAAAAAAAATGCATTGACCCATGTCACTTTAGTTTTGTGTATTTCACTGTATATAAATTATATTTCAATAAAATGCATATTAAAAAAAAAGAAAGAAAATGAGCTTCTGATAACAGTGATGGAAAAATATGGAAATGGATAGTGGTGATTAATGCACATACAACAGGATGAATGTCATTAATATCATAAAATCAAGTGTGCAAAAAATGCTAAAATAAATGTCTATATATTTATATTATATATAAATTATATATCTATCTATATATACATAGATAGATATATAAAGACAACAAAAAGTAAAGTGAGAACATAACACAGAAATGGGAAAAAATATTTGTAAATCACGTATCTATTAAGAGACTAGAATCTAAAATCTAGGATACACAAAAAACTCTTACAGCATAACAATAAAAATACAAATAGCCCAAATAAAAATGGTCAAAGGATAGAAAAATCTTCTAAAATACATATGCAAACAGCCTTTAAGTACATGGAAACCTGGTCAACAACATTAGTCACTAGGGAAATACAAATCAAAACCACGAATGATACAACTTCATACCAACTAATCTGGCTATAATTAAAAAGACAAATAATAACAAGTGTTGGCTACAATGTGGAGAAATTGGAACCCTGGTATATTGCTGATGAAACTGTAAGATGGTACAACTACTTTGCAAAATACTTCGGCAGTTCCTCAAATATTAAACATAGTCAATATATGATCTAAGATTTCCACTCTTAGGAACACTCATGAGAAATGAAAAACATTGTTCACATAAAAACTTGTACATGACTGTCCACAGCAGAATTAATCATAATAACCAAAAAGTGAAAACAAGTGTCCTGCAACTAATGATTGGATAATTACAATCTGGTATATCCACACAACAGAATATTATTTGGAAAAAAAAATTAAGTACTGATACATACAAGGATTGAAAACCTTACATTAAAAGAAAGAAGTCAGACACAAAAGATCATATATTTTATGATTCCATTTATATGTCCATCCCTTTTTTATTTTCTGTAGACAACCATGTTGTTGTTGTTGTTATGTGCCGTCGAGTTGGACCCAACTCATAGCGACCCCTCCTTGGGTTTCCGAGGCGGTATCACTATGGAAGTAAATTGCCCCATCTTCCTTCTGAGGAGTGGCTGGTGGGTTTGAACCACCAGAGACTGTAAAACAGTGATCACTAGGGCTGGGGAGCAGGAAGGAGAATGGAAAATGACTACTTCTGAATATGAGGTTTCTTTTAGGGGTGATGAAAATGTTCTGGAATTATATAAAAACCAGTGAATTGTGTACTTTAAAAGGATTAATTTTATGGTAGGGAATTATATTTCAATTTAAAAATGAGAGATATAAGATAAGAATACCAATGTCTCAGATTGCTTGCTCTAAGTATACCTGTCTTTGGAAATCTTTTTCTCAGTTAAACGCTATCTTCTCCTCTGTAAAATTATCCAAATTTCCCCAGGTAGACTCAGATTCTGCTTTCTCACAATGTATCTACTTTTTATGACTGATTATCTCTGTTGAATTACACTTGTTTCCTAATATGCTTGTCTTCTCCAATAGACTGTAACTTTCTTGAATAGTAAGCAAACCTTTTCACTCATTTTTTTTCCCCAACACAGCTTAGGCTCGGGGGGAATAAAACTGGTTAAATGAACTAACACAGAAAATTTAGTACCACTCTATGGCCTAAAAATACTTGGTAACTAAAACATAGTGTTCTCCTTAACAAAGTACATAAATGCATTGTATTCATAATTTCTGTTTTACTTCTTAATCTATTTCCTTTCACTTCAGTTATGTTAGCACAGAAGAAAAATAGACAAGAAAGAATTTATGTAAAGTATTTGTCACAACTATACTCCTTACTGCCAATTCATTCATCTCAATCACAGAAATAGTTGGTAATGGAACTATTAAATCTAATTGATCATAACCATTTACATGTTATCCTTATAGAGTCAATTTTCACTGGCAATGAAAACTTTCTTTTCTACATCTTTATCATAAGTTAGCAGCCTTACTCTTTACTATACAATAAGCCTTTTTTTGCCACCTCAATACAAGTAGTGTAGAAATTAGGATTCATGTTGCTTTTACCATTATTCCACTATACCTGAAATATCTAAAATGTCCTAATTCTATTAATACCTTTTATCACCACAGCTTCATCAGTATAGAGGTAGTCCAAAATAACTTGCAGTATGTCAGAATGTATTGGCATTTCCAGAGCTGCACAACTGGAAGCCTAAATGATTAAAATAATTTTTTAAGCAACAGAATACTATGTAGATTTTTGTACTAAGAACCTTAAGCAGGAAATTACAACAAATACAAAATAACATCAAATTTATAAAACACAAAACTAAAATGAGATACTTTAAATTTTAAAACATCTTATACCATGAGAACAAGAAAATGAAAAACTCAGATATAAAAGCATACTGGTATTACAAACACATTTATAAATAATAATGGGGAAGTTTTGATTTAAGTAGCATTGCAGTAACAATTTCTAAATGTTGCTATTTTTCAGTAGGCACACCTAAGTCCTCAAAGTGACGTCTTTGTTTTTTAATACTTCAAAGAGGTCTTCTGCAGTAGATTTGTCCTATGCAATACATCATTTGATTTCTTAATTACTGCGTCCATGGGCACTGATAGTGGATCCAAGTAAAAGGAAATCCTTGACCACTTCTATCTTTTCTCCATTTATCACAATGTTGCTTATTGGTCCAGTTGTGAGGATTTTCTTTATGTTGAGGTGTAATCCATGCTGAAAGCTGCAGTGTATGATCTTCATCAGTAAGAGATTCAAGTCATCTTTACTTTCAGCAAGCAAGGCTACACCATCTGCATATCACAGGTTGTTAATGAGTCTTCCTCTAAGCCTGATGTCATGCTCTTCAAACAGTTTAACTTCTTGGATTATTTGCTCAGCATATAGACTGAATGAGTATGATAAAAGGATTCAACCTTTATGAACACCTTTGCTAATTTTAAACCAAGCAGTCTGTTTGAACAACCACCTCTTGACTAGGTACAAGTTCTTCATGAGCACAATAAAGTGTTCTGGAATTCCTATTCTTGGCAATGTTATCCATAATTTGTTAAGATCCACACAGTCAAATGCCTTTGCATAATCAATAAAACACAGGTAAACATAGTCTGTGCTTTCAGCCAAGATCTATCTCACATCAGCAAAGATATCTCTCATTCCATGTCTTCTTCTGAATCTGGCTTGAAAATTTTACTTTCGTGTGATAGTAATGATATTGTTCAATAAAAAATGAAGTAAGAGCTTTAAATTTACACACTTGACCTCAGTAAGATACATATAGGAAGTTAAGAGAACAAAAGAAAGAAAACTAGTGGAAAAAATAAGTAAGGTTTGTAGAACATTTTCTTAGCTTTTAAAGGAACTCATGTTCAAAACACAGGCTAAAAACAACTCTAGTTCACTCATCAATAGTAAAATTTATGCTAAAATTTTAAGTTATTATATATGCTATAGCTTGCTACTTAAGCGGACAGAATGCTACCAAAAAAAAAAAAAAAAATGCTTACTATGTAAAGCCCTAACCCAATTAGTAAAGCATTGAATTTTAAAAGCATTACTAAAAAACTCATCCTTCATCTTTGAATTCTTTCTCTTTGTGGGACAAATAAAACCGTGTTGTTACTCTATGTTCATTTTTATGGCCAACTAACCCCATACTGAGGGGTTACGACAGTAGTAAATACAATTTCCACTAATAATTTTACATATACTTTTTGTTTGTATCACTCTGCACACAAATCAAACATTTGAATGTCTTATTTACCAAGCTTATTTAGGAGGTCTGGTGGCGTACTGCCTAAGGCATTTGATTGCTAGCCAGAAGGTTGGTGGTTCAAACCCACCAGCCGCTCCATGGAAAGAAAACGAGGCAACCTACTTCCATAAAGATTTACTGCCTCAGAAACCCAACGGGAGTCACTATGAGTCAACATCGACTCAATGGCAGTGAGGTTGGGTTTTTTTGGTTTGGATTTACTAACCACCCTTCAAGAAAGTTTTATGTACAAGAGATATCAACAGGCTATAATATTCTTCTTTTTTAATAGCACTGTAAATAAGCTGTTATCTAAATCTCAAGATGACTACAGATAGTATATAATGTATAATATATAGTAATATAAAAGTCACAATTTTACACTTGAGTATATTAACATAAATATACATGTTTATTTATTATGCATTTTAAGAGGTCAATTTCAATAAACTTGTTTATTCAATTCCAAAATTTGTCCATCACTATGTTGACAAATCTCATTATTAAGTTCCAATTTATAATTTCTTTAGTATACAATTTTTCCAAAATTTGAAGAAGTAGTTACCAATCTATGCTTTCTACATAAATCTTACCTCAATCCATGAGCTACTCAGCATACTATGAAAATATTCTGGGAGGGAAAAAAAAGTTCAATTAAGCCAGAATAATGAAATAATATTTTTTAAAAAAATAAAATGAATTAACAATAAATTTTTTAGAAGTAAATACTAAAAAAGAAAAAAGAAAATACCTACCAAGTCTGGCACAAAGAACACATTTATGACAAGGAAATTCCTTTCCATCCAATGATTTCATGGTCACATCACACAGAAATGAACTGTAAGAAAAATATAATTAAAAATGTATTTTAATAATAATTCAAATGTAATTAAGTATTTAATTCAAGCAAATGCAATTACTTTACATATTGAGCCAATAAAAAATGTGCTACAGAATTTAGTATAACTTTTTATTTCTCTTATTAAAGGCAGCAGAGAATAAATAATTTGCAGGTATGTACGCAAATAAAGTACTTCATCTCCCTTCCTGTCAGGGAAGACAATAAAGGCCTTACGATAAAGATAATCTTTGAAAAAGGCCACTGAATATAGACAAATTTCCAAATAAATCTTTCTTCTAATTTTCCTATTTTATTCCAGGCCAAGTGTTAATAACGTAATAGTAAGATTATATTCGAGGCTCTTTTAATTTCATGTATTTGTACAAACTATTCTGTTTCAGGCAGTCTAGATACCTCCAATTTCCTTCTTTCTCAAAAACTTTTCAACTACAAAGAAAATACAAATACCATTAACAAAAACTTTCTATAACAAATATATTTATAATAGTATATTTACTATTGAAAAATTTTGTACTAAATGAAGTAATAATCATAATGATGATTATGTATAATTAGGTTTTTTTGGTTATTGTCATTTCCTACTTAGAACAACTTACAAAATTCAGGCAAGAAAAAATAAAAATTAAAGATTTCTTTCTGCTTTAGAAAGTAATCAGAAAGGGTGAATTCTTTCTGTCTTATGGAGAAGTTAATCTTTCATCCATTCACCTCAACAACTCCCCAACATTTCCGGAAATAAAGACAAGCAGAAAAGGTAAAAGGGTATCTAACTATACATTTCGCTTTGTATTTGGGTATGATGAACTCTACTTTCATACTTAGATGCCACAATCTAGACATGAAAAGTTTTATCTTCACTTATTAACTTACCATTTTTTCTGACTTAATTTTGGTTTATTACCAGTTTTCTTGACGATAACATTAATTTTTTCATTTTCAAATCTGACTCCATCTAACCTATCAAGAACACACAAAAATTCAATAAAAATTTTAAAAAACAGACAAAAATTAACAATTGGTAGACATATACATGCCCCCTACCAAAACAAACAAAAAACAAAAACCCAAAAAAATCAACTTATGTCTGAACATAATTGTACAGATAATTTATACCCAAAAAACTCCAAAAAACCTAAGCCTGTTTCGCTTGAGTGGATTCTGAGTCATCATAACCCTATGCCTAGAGTAGAACTGCACTTCATAGGGTTTTCAATTGCAGTAATTTTACAAAAATAGGTTATCCAGTGTTTTTCTGCTTTACCACTGTGTGAATCTGAATCACCAACCATTTGGTTAGTACCCAACCCACTGCCCTCGCGTCGGATGCAACTCATAGTGACCCCTCCTTGGTTTCCAAGACAATGTCACTACAGAAGTAGATTGCCCAACCTTTTTTCCGGGGAGTGACTGGTGGGTTTGAACCACCAGCCTTCTGGTTAGCAGTCAAGTACCTTAGGTACTATGCCACCAGAGCTTAGCTGAGCACAAATCATTTGTACCACCCAGGAAGCTAGATCATTTATATCCTCTAGAAAAGGATCTCAAGAAACCCTACTCCATGATAAAGAAGTATCATGCCCTCTCCTTTAATTTTACTTAGAATTCAAAATACATTAAATATCTTTATTGCAAAAAACAAATCAAAGTCAGGGTACAAAGTTCATCACTGTTTTTAAATAGAACACTTAATACACACTCATACATTACTCTCCTTCTCCACTCTACAAGTAAGGTTATACAGTCACAAGCAACATAAATACTTTAAAAAAGAGAGAAATCCAAATCGTATCTGATTTTGTGTTAACAACTTTATACACATTAAGGAGTCCTGGTGGCACAATGGTTAAAGCACTTGGCTACTGACCAAAAGGTTAAAAAAAATAGAATTTCTAATATTCTATTTTTAAGGAATTTTAAAAAATATAATGAGGCACAAGAATAGCTATCAAGGAGAAGTCATACCTACTACTCAAATTATTGAAACCAAATTTCTTTGCAACATTTTGCAACATTCTTACAGGATCATCTTCCCCAACACTTTTTCCTTTTTTTGAAGATTTAGATTTTCTTTTCTGCCTTTCACCAGTTGTTTGAGCCTGATTACTTTCATAAACTTCAAATGTTGACTTCTGATTATTATCTTCACAGCAATTCATTTTATTCACATGAGAATTCAGAGTGCTCTGATATTCTTCCTGTTTTTTGTTTAAGTGTATTCTTGGTTTGTAGCCATGAGTTAAAAAGTCACAAGTGTCTGTGTATATGAATTGTAAAAGGTATTCAAATAAGTCAGGATGAACCTTCTCTACCACAAAGAGATGGCATCCTGAAGAATCTTCATCTTTCCGGTAAACTTCTGCAAAGTCTAAAGTAGTACCATCTGAAATAAACAATTTCTGAAAAAAGTCAGAACGCACTGCCAAAATATATTTATGTGCAGGGAAGAGTCTATTGCCAACTTGAAATGTCACATCATGAATGTTGTCCATTTCATCTGTTTCCTTCAACAGTTTGCCAAACTCTTCAAAAAGGGATGATGATGACACAACTGGAATTTCATAAAGGCTAGATCCAACAAAAAAATCATTTTTACTTTCAAGAAAACAAAAGCATTCCCAGCTGATTCTCTTATGTAAATGTAATGTCTTTATTATTTATTAAACTTACAAAAATTTTAATTTGGCATTTCCTAAAACATGTATTATAGCACAAAGGTCTAGATTCTGTATGACCTTTTAATTTTTTTCTATTTCTGTTTAAATCTATGATTTTTTTTCTCTTAAAATAACAAAAACTAATATTTGGAAAAAATGGTCTCTATTTATACACGAACAACATAACTTAGAACAATGTAAATGTGAATAACTATTCCACGATAATTTTTCAAATGATTAAAAAATCCTAAAAAAAAAAAAACTACAGTTCTCATTCTTTTCCTCTTTTATATCTACAAGTGAAAAATAAATTTTAAAAAAGATAGATAGACAGATATATGTAACTTAGCAAATACTTCAGGTCCTACATCCTGTAGTAGTAGGTCTGAAACTCAAGGAAGCAAAGAGATATACAAAAATAAGTGTACCATCAATCTGTAACCCTGGTTTTTCATTATGTGGAATCTGAAAAGACCCTCCCAATCTGCCTTTTACCCTTCTAGGTATGGAGACCAACCCTCCTGGTTTGCCAGAGAATGAAGGGTTTCCTAGGACAGTCTTGGCACACCAAGATGAACGATCATCCTACTTGTAGGATTTTTCAACCATACCACTACAATTGTAATTTGTTTTTGCTCTACTATTTGCACTGGAATTTACACTGCCTTACAGATGGCTCCATACCACCTCTTCTTTTGTCAACTACCTTCATGGTCATGGGTCAAAAATTTTTGCAAAATAAGAAATATTTATAATACATTTCTTAGAATTTGAGAACCTGGAATATAGAGTATATAACAAAGTACTAAAGATATAAATTTAATGTACATACATATGTAGATGTGTATATGTGTGTGTGTGCACGCACGTACATACACACACACAAAAACTACAGAGAAATCTCATCATTCTTGGTAATTTCCACCTTTGAGTTATCCCAACACCATGATTTTGTCTAATGTCTCTAAAGGCTTGGCAATGGATCTTCAATTAAACTGGAGCAAGGAGCTACTGAAAGCAGAAGAATAACCCTAAATAGAAAATAAAATAGAGACTAACTCTAAAATAGAAAATAACACATACAAGCATACCTTGTTTTAGGATCTGACTGCAGGATTGCAAAGTTGCACCCACTTGGATCTGTGCTGACACTAACAGCTCTATGGGCAAATGTAAGTTTCTCAAGTCGAATTCTTTCATATATGTTATTTATTTCAGAGACACAAGACACATCTGATGAGGAATTATGAAGACTTGGTAAAATCTCTGCTAAAAGGAAAGAAAATGAACATCCATTAATCAAGTTTTTATGGAGACCAGAAAATGCTTTAGGAGTAAATGAAATACAAAAACAATTGTGATGATATGGAAATATCTTTAGTAATGAATGTATTAACTCTTTTCGAAGAACTATATCCTTTCATTTTATACCCTTTACACTGGTTGTATTATACAAGAAATTTTGGGTGGTCAATTTCCAATTACCCATGATTTCATTTCTTTCAATAAACACATCCTTCAATCTACCACCCAAAGTTATCTTCCTGAAAGGCCAATCTTGTGTCACACCAGCTTTTAAAATTCTTTAAATGAGATTCATGAGCTGCTTGCTTGTTTACGTGCCACCTCCCAATATCCTTACCTTTCTTCCATTCATTCAGCAAACAACTGAGTGACCACACTGCTACTGATATGACCATCATCACTGTATGCCTAGTGATCTAGTAGTAAACAAGATGAACATGTCCCTACCTTCATGAAGTACCCAATCTAGCAGGAAGACACAAATTACACAAATGATTATATCATTACATGACAGATCAACATTATAAAAAAAAAGTACAGAGTGCTTCTATAAAGAAATTATTCTGGCTTCACTGTGAACAACATTTAAAGTGGATAAGAATAGACAGAAGGCATTTAGGAAGCTACTTCAAGAGTTGGAGCAATGAGAATTCAGGAAAGATGGCAGAATAGGCAGAAAGACTGCACAGACCCTCTTCAACAAAGAAAGGGGGAACCAATTAATACAGAAACAGAAGATAATCCTGGACCCGACCTTTGAAGGGAAGGTTATAGAAGTAGACTAAACTCCAACTAGCAGAAGAATTTGCATGAAAACATCAAAAAAAGGAAACACACGGAGCTGTGGTCTAACAGCGATCCTGAAGGCACAGACAGCTTAGATATTGCCAAGTGGTGGTAGGACACAAGAATTAACCTAAAAATCGGCCCTACAAGCCAGGGAATGCACGGAGGACTGCTCTGGTGGCTGGGTAATAAAAGGGGAAGCAGTGAAGAGGACGGCAGGCTGAGCTGTGGACTTTTGTCTGTCCAGAGGGTGGAGCCATTTTGAATGTTTACAAGTGGCTTGACCATTTTGGATATTTAAAGCAAGAGCGTTCTCCCAGATTCCAGGGACTTAAGAACTGGCTCCACTTGCTAGGAACCCCAGAGACATTGCAACCTGGTCAACTGGAAAGGTTCAAGTTTTCAGCTTTTTTTCTTTTCCTTGTTCCTGGTTGCAATTTTCTTTTTCTTTCTCCTGGTTAACCCCGTACCTTATTTTTCTTTTTGCATTTTTCCCATATTTTCTTCATTATTCTCCTTCACTAACTTTTTTTTTGTCTTATATCCTCTCCACACATTGCAGGGTTTTTTTTCTTCTTTTTCCTTTATTTTCTCTATTTCCCTTTTTTCTTTTTTTGGTTACTGTTCCTATGTGATTACACAGTGTATTTTTTGTCCATGTGCTTTTACTTTTTTGATGGTTATTCAATTGTTATTTTTGTCTAATGGAGTGGAAGAAAGCAACAGTCCCCATAACACAACTACACCCACAACTCCTACAGCTTCACTGACTGAGTGACAGCCACCACTTCCTTCTCTACCAATGGGTCAACGATAAACAACCACCAAGAGAAGCCTGACTCATCACTGGCTGCTCTTCACAAAAATGTAACAGAGATCTAAACACAATGTCACGATGTCTCGGAGACAACAGACCATCACAGTCCACACAAAGAAGCAAAATAAAGTGGTAGAAACAAGTGAGCAGGATGCAGACCCAGAACATATACCTGAGGAAGAAGCAGCATTGGAACTCTCTGATAAGGAATTAAAAAGAATTATATTAAGGTATCTTCAAAGGATTGGGAGAAAGACCAAGGAAAACATAGACAAAACCCTAGAAGAATTTCAGAAGAAAATACAAGAACAAAATGGCAAAATAAATGAAAAATGAGAAATGATTCAAAATCTACACACAGGAATCCAGAAGATTAATACTAAATTGTCAGAAAGAGATAACACATTGAAAGGGCAAAGGAGTAGAATTTGATGCAATGGAAGACAGAATTAATAAGACTGAAGACAAATACCTGAATACTTCTTTGGAAAAGGATCAATCAGAAAAAAGATCAAAACAAAATTTAGAAAGCCTAAGGTTCACGTGGAACACCATCAAAAGGAATAACCTATGTGTCAATGGAATTCCAGAACAGGAAAAGAAAAACAAAACCACTGAGAAAACTGTCCAAGATGTGTTGGAGAAGAACATCCCTGAAATGATGAAAGATGAGAATATATCCATTCAAGAAGTCCAACAAACACTAAAAAAGATAGACCCCCCAAAAAAATCACTAAGACATATCATCAACTCCCAAAACCAAAGACAAAGAAAGAACTCTGAAAGAAGCACAAGAAAAACAAAAAGTTACTTACAAATGAAACCAGTAAGAATAACCTCTGATTTCTCAGCAGAAACCATGCAAGCGAGAAGACAAAGGATGGAATTATAAAACCATGAAAGAGAAAAATTTTCAACCAAGAATTATATAGCTGGCAAAATTGTCCCTCGAATATGATGGTGAAATTAGGACATTTCCAGATAAGCAGAAACTAAGAGAATTTGTTAAAACCAGAACAACCTTACAAGAGATGCTAAAGGGAGTCCTTTGAAGAGAGAACCAAAACGAGCAAATAACAATTGACCATTAACACACAACATGATATAACCCAGAAACCAGAGCTATGGACATATCCAAAGAAAAATAAGCTTACAAGATTGCAAACAGGGAACCAGAGACATCAATTGGCAAATGAGGACAACTACAAACCAAAAAGAGCGAAATACTGTGTTGTTACAGAACTTCTAAATGGTGAGGAAGTCAAGAGAATTGCAAGATAGAATGGAATGTTATAATTTCGAGGAGAAAATTATAAATCACAGGGTTACCTCAAAGAAAAATGATAAACCTTCACATCACAATAAAAAAGAGGACAAGCACAAATATTCAGCAAATACTAAAACAACACCAACAAAGGAAATGATAACACGATTCATAAACATAATGAGCTCAGGACAGAAAATAATATGGAACAAAGAAACCAGGGACACCATAAAAAATTAACAAAATGACAGCAACCATTTCATACTTGTTGATAATTACACTGAATGTTAATGGATTAAATGCACACTTAAGAGATGGAGAGTTGCAGATTGGATAAGAAAACAAAACCCATGAATATGTTTTCTACAAGAGACACACCTTAAAGACAAAGACAAAAACAGACTAAAAATCAAAGGTTGGAAAAAGATATATCAAGCAAATGGCAACTGTAAAAGAACAGAAGTGGCAAAATTAACTTATGAGCAAACTGACTTTAAGACAAAAACCACCATACAAGACAAGGAAGGACATTATATAATGATTAAAGCAACAAATGAATAAGAAGCTATAACCAAAATAAATATCTATGGACCAATGAAAGAGCCCAAAAATATAAAAGTCCGATTTTAAAATAGGTGAAAAGGCAAACAGATGACTCCAGTCATAGTGGGAGACTTTAATACACCACTTGCAATGAAAGATAGAACCACTGAAAAGAAACTCAACAAAGATGCAGAAGAGCTAAACAATACAATCCACCAACTTGACATAGACGTCTACAGAGTACTTCACCTAACAACAGAACAATATACATTCTTTTCTAGTGCACATGGAACATTTTCTATGATAGACCATATGTTAGGCCATAAAGCAAGAATTCATAAATTTAAAAACACTGTACTACTATAGCCAAAACATGGAAACAACCTAGATGTCCATCAACTGAGGAATGGATAACCAAACTATGGTACATACACACAATGGAATACTATGCA